CTCACACCAGACCACCCGCCCCCCCCCACACCCAAACTAAAATTTTATTGCAGATTCGGGGTCCCCTCGCCAAGCACAGCACGACCCCGCCCTCAAAAAAAAAATAAAAAAATTATGGAATGTTTTTTGGCCCGCCCGGTTTGCCCGGGCGACCTGCCCAGGCCCCGCCCGGCCGGGCGGCGTTCGTACTCAGAGTATTTGTTGTATGTCGTAGGTCTGTGTAGTGGTAGGGGTTCGATCTGTAGGTCTGAGGATTAGGGGTCACAGCTTTGTAGAGGTCGTAGCTGTAGGTATTCTGAAAGGTCAAGGTCGTAGCTGCTACAGTCCTGAAAGGTCAAGATCGTAGCTGCTACAGTACCCGAAAGGCCAAGTCCACAGCCTTCCGGAAGGTCCGGAAGTGGCCTTTGGAATTGTCTCACGTTTAGTCAGAGGCAAGTGGGCAAGTAGTGAGCCTTTAGTCAGAGGCAAGTGGGTAAGTGGTGAGCCAACTGCGTTACGTCGGCAGTGCGACCGCATCGAGTTGGCAGTGCAATCCCATGCCGTCAGCGGCATCGGGCCCAGTCAGTCAGAGTCCAGTCAAGCAAGTACCGTGTGGGACTGTGTGCACCAAGGGCCTGGGAAAGGGGCAGACCAACGAGTTACAGAAGTATAAATCAAGAGGCAGTGCCCAGCCATTCAGGGACTCGCTTCATGCGGAACCGCTGCTATAGCGTCTTGTGTGAGGTGGTCTGCAGGTGGCCCGAAGTCGAAGTGGGCTTGAGGAAGATAGCATAACCATAGGAGTAGTAGCGAGCGGCCATAGCCGCCATAGATTAGAGGTTGCTGTTAGTGTATGTGTGTGTGTGAGACAGAGTGAGTGTGCGTGGAGTATTCAGGGTGATCCAGAGTTGAGTGTGAACAGTGGCGTTCAACGCAGTGACGAGAGTTGTGACGAACAGGCGCTGATGCGCCATAGCCTGTTGAATTGAGTTTGCATCCAAACACTGTTCTCGGTCGCCATATCTCTGAGCTTGGTGTGGGCGCTGTGCGCCAGTGTGAATCACCATCTGTTTGCATGTATGCGGAGTGGAAGTGAGAGCAAGTCTGATTGCACTTTCAACTATTGGCATGTGTTTACCATTCTTGTGTCATAACCCATTACACCTGGCATGGCCACAGGCTTCCAGAAGATGAAGCCCTAGCAAGGGTGATTCGTTTGAATGGCCCAGGCTCTTTGTGTTCCCTGCAGGGGTAGGAACAATGTTTTGGGACAGATATTCGTTCTGGCCACTCAAAAACTCTCGACTGCACCTGACTCTGCTTGAAGACATACATTCAATATGGTCCCAGTGGGTAGATGCCTAAACGCAGCAGCCTCTTTTTTTCCGAAGGGGTACCTTTGAAAAGGTATTCACCTGTTCGCAGTAGCGGATGCAAGTCCCAGGGCTCGATCCCTAGACCATCACCTTACCTGTGTACAGTATCTGTGTCCACCTTGAGAGTTGAACCCACGACATGTGTCTTTCCCCACAGGAAGGTTGTCGTAGGTCTGTAGGGTATATAGGGGTTCGATCTGTAGACCTGTCGCATAGGAGTCGTAGCAAGTTCTGGAAGTTGTAGCCATAGCTGTCTGTGCTATAGCTGTCGGTAAAGGGTCAAGGTCGTAGCTGCTACAGTCCTGAAGGGTCAAGGTCGTAGCTGCTACAGTATCCGAAAGGCCAGGACTGGAACTTCCAGAAGATCCTGGTACTGGCCTTTCGAAGCTGCTCACGTTTAGGCTGAGGCAAGTGGGCAAGTGGTGGAGTTCACCCGTGCTGAGTCAGCAGTCCCAGTCCCAGTCAGTCCTAGTCCAGTCAAGCAAGTACCGCATGGGACTGTGTGCACCACGGGCATGGGAAAGGGGCAGACCAACTCAAGAGGCAGCGCCCAGCCATTGATTCATTCCTGCGTAAGCCATGTGGAAGCGCTGCCACAGCGACTTGTGCGAGGTGGTCTGCAGTGAGCCCCAAGACGAAGTGGGCGAGAAGGAGAGCTTAGCCATAGCTTTAGGAGTAGTAGCGACATAGCCGCCATAGCTGATAGGAGAGTGTAGCGTGTATGTGTGTGCGTGTGTGTATAGTGTGAGGCGTGTGGGATATCCAGGGTGATCCAGTGTGTGTGTGAACAGCAGAGTTGGGTTGGCGACGAACAGAGAGTTGTGCAGGCGCTGTGCCGCCATAGCCATTTGAAGTGAGCTTGTATCTGAACTGCGTTCTTGGCAACCATATCTCTGAGTTCTGAGTGGGCACTTGTCGCCAGTTTGCTGCGCAACCTATTTACATGCATGTGAAGTGTGAAGAGAGCGAGTCTGATTGCACCTTGTGCTCGAAATACCCCTATGGTTGGTTGGACAACCACGAGTGATTCTCATAAACATCCAGTTACACTGGATGGACCTCACTGCAGCTTACCTTGCATGTGCAGGTCTCATGTGTGAGCTTAGGGGGAGTCTGGTGTGAGTGAGTGCACTCAAAGCAGTGTTCACTCTTGCACCTGGCACCTGTTAAGTACAAGCAAAGATTGATACACAATGTCATTATCCGTGCACCCTCCGACATTAAAGACAGGCAACCAAATATTGCATGATTATCTAACACTTGAATTGAATATCACTGGTGATGACATTGTCAAATCAACATGGACAATCAGGAACTGTCCTCTTCTATCCTCTCCTTTTCTGTTTGCCCACTCTGTCCTTCTCCACCCAGTTACCAACGCAAAACACGTGTACGCACATGGAATGCTTGATAGACCATATATTTTAGACTGGTCCACAAGCAGGGTGTGCGTTTAACATTGTTAAATCACCTCAAACTTTCTTACAACCTCCCAGGATACCAGGAAAACCCCACCTTTTTCCAAGTCTGTCTGTTGGACAGAAAATTTTGACGGCTATCGCTCTATCTGCAGGGGGTCGCTTGATTTCCTAGCAGACAATGACGATTAAAACAGCCACTACATGTGCAAACAACAGCGCCAGAGCCCACAATCAGAAGAGACTTCTGCAGCTCTAGGATGGACGATCGTACAGCCCACAGTGAAAAGAAGTGCAGCCTCCTCGAACGTACGAGATTGTCAGATGTAGCCGTGGGTGGGTGGTTTAACCTAGCTATTCCACCAATGGTTCATGGAGCAGCATCTTCCGTTTGGGAGAGAAAAGTTCATGTCCACTGGATTTGTCACTTCCTGGATGTATGAGACCTCATTGATAGCCAGATTCAGTTCAAAAATTCCTAGTGAGATGATTTGCTTAGTATTGGAGAACTGTCTGCATTAAATATGCATCCGCAGGGCAACACATGAATCAATGCACAGCACCCACCCTCGTGCCTCCCTAACAGCGACCATTCTTGTATACTCATTGTTAGGCAGGTGATGAAGACAAAGACAAAGAAGAAAAATAAAGAACGAAGAAGACGAAAGAAGAAGAAGCAGAAGCAGAACAAGAACAAGAACAAGGATACGAGAACATGATGATGATGTTGACGATGATGATGATGATGATGATGATGATGATGATGATGACGATGACTGCAATGACGCTACGTTACCTCCATGTGGGCTGCTCTTAGTAATTGTCAATCAAAGATGATAGTGAGCTTGAACAGAAGCCGATGAGGGGCAGACGACAACAACCAAAAGAAGAACAAGAGGTTCTATTATGTACAACCAGGCTGACCTTAGTAATTGTCGAGCCAAGATGACAGTGAGCACCAACCAAAGTCAGCTGCTCAGGGCGCTTCTTGATCTCGTCCAAGAACCACTGCAGCTTCTCGTTCCGTATACCAAACTTCGAATTTTTGTTCCCCGTAGACACGTACGGATGGACCTCTGGATCCACGTCCGGGTTGATTCTCAACAACACATTCACTGGCTTCTTGACTATGGAACCAGCTTCCGCGATCTGTTCCAGGTCAAACTCGCTATCCACATTTACAAGGACTCCATTCTCCGCTGCCACAACCAGCTCCTCCAACAGCTTCCCGTTTCCATTGAAAACACACCTACAGTAAGAATGACCATACCGAGAATGACAGCAACGATAAAAGCATAGCTGTAATCATAGCCCTCGAGAAACCAACCTCCACAGTCTGTTGCTTTCATCACGTTTAGAACTCATGATCAATACACTTATCTGTGCACCATTCAGGCATATGCAACAGGCCACTGCCAGACCACTGTACACAATCACACCATGCCCAACAGCCAGAAGTACCCGGACATCCGGCAAAGTCCAACCAGCAACTTGAAGGGGCATACCAAAAAGTTCTTGGGCCCAATCGTCGCAACGGGTATTTGTCAAATTTGAAGCACCCTTGGCAAGACATTCCAGAAGTTTCGCATCTTTCAGGGGCGAATCAGGAAACACCGCATACTTCAGGGGTAAAACACAATTTAAAATTTTCCTGTTACTTGCGTCAAAAAGAGCATGTGTGAATAGAACTTCCACAGTCGCATATGTCAGGGCTACTGACATGCTGACCTGTACACAGATAGAATAAAGTCAGCATACTCACACTACAACATTCCTTGATCAAAATTGTGCCTTCTCCTGGAAGCATCTGACCGCAATTGTTTCCAGAGATGAGTCTGAAAAAGCCCTAGTGTGAGTATCCCCTACCAGGTTCAGGGGTTCACCTAAACATAGTGCCGATGTACGCCTGACCCTTGTGACCACCACCAGGCAGTTCACCAGCGGCTTTTCCCAATTTGGAAGGCCAGATCAGTTCTATGCCAGTACCGTCCAGTCCAGTAAATATTATTGCCAGTGCAAGGACAAGGTTCCATTTACTTCAATGTGCCAAGAGCAGGAATGACCGTTTACGTTTGGATAGACACAACCACCACCCTCTAGCCCAAACACAACACACCCTCATCCTGAACATATTATAAGCTATCTTTCCGGCCCCTATGCAGTCATAATGAGGGTGTGCTCTGCTCGTGGGAAGACAGTACCACAATCATACTGTACCTGCGCATGAACACATCCATGTTCAGAACTTCATTTCGAGGAACTCCACACCCAGCACTTCGGACAGAACTACCGTCAGACTGCACCTGTGCATAAAGGCATCCAAGTTCAGACCTCCCATTCAAGGAACGACATTATCTTCTCCTAACCTTCTACCTTCTTGGTTACTATCTGGACAGAGATCGATGGCGGGTTATCGATGACATGAGGGCTGAGACTATTTCAGACTAAGACATTGGGAGGACTATTTTGGGGAGATCTGACATCAATGGCATTTCGAGATTCTGTGTCTTCAATATTTCGGGATTACTATTTCGGTGACATTTGTGCTGGCGCCATCTCCCCCCAACTCTCTCCGTCTCTTCCCCCTACATTTTGTCTGTGTGTGGTTTGTGCAGGCCCTGGCGCCATCTTCCATGTCTGGATAGCCACGCCATCCCACCTGATGAATGTATGTCTGTGAGTTTGTATCTAGTCCGAGTCATATGTAAGTTAGATCCATGTTTATCAATCTTCCGCTGCATTGTTTCATTCTTTGTTTATTGGTCGGTTCTGGGTTCTGCATCACACTTGTGCTCGCTTCACTAGCATGCAACAGTTCGGTATCGGAGCAGCCCAAGATTGGATCTGCTCACAGATCGATCGATCAATTGACTGATCCTTCGAAAAATTCCGATGGGTTGATTGATTGATTGATTGATTGATTGATTGATTGATTGATGCAGTTCTGATTAGTGAGAAAGCAAGATAATTGATAAACCGGTTAATGAAAGTTGATTAATTAGTTAATTAGGATTGTGCAAGGGATATGAGTGGGAACGATATACAAAAAGCCAAGTTGCCAAATCACACAGATGTCCAAGTAGTTGTGTACAAATGCACCGAGATTCCATCCAAATAAGAGCAATACAATGAAGTAATGAGCCAATGTTCAAGCCCTCAGGCCACACCAACACAGTATCCAAAGTCACTCCTGTCTGTCTGGCGCCCACCGCCCAGCCTACACTACTCGACTATCCTACCTACATCAGCATTCTCGCAACAGGCTCACTTCGACTGTCGAAGACCAATGTACATGACGTCAACACCATAGCCTCATCTCCCCTCATCAGACCCTGTCCACCCACACTCGCCTCCTTCCTCAAAACCATCGACCGCCCTCTCACCCCCTAGCACCATGCAGCCCGGCTTTCGCAGCTCACGCACCGCTGCCCAGCAGCGCCCCTCTTCACTCTCAAGCGCCTGCACGCGCCCTGGCCGCTGACGCAGCATGCAGCGTCTCGCGCAGCAACACAGAAGCGTGACCGCATTGCCTGCATGGGCCAGAATGCCAAACCCTGGCTTCCCTCCTTCCTATATGGAAGTGGCAGCCTCTGCTTGGCTGTGTGTGGCCTGGCTGGAAGCTACCAATAGCGTCCGGTTGAACACCAGTACCTGTGCCCAGCCCAAGTGCTACAGTTGAGGGCCTGCGCCCTTTACAATTGGGCACGGCCTGAGTCCCCGGACTTGGGTGGTTTCCTGCATTTGCACAGGACCCGGGGTATGTACGTCGACAGTGCTGCTTATGTGTAGGCTTGTAGCCACTTCCTGATGTATCGACCCTGCATTGTGTGTATGTGCCCAGGCGCAACTGCCACAGCCCGAGGCAAATTGTATGACTCAGCTTAGGGAGGTTCAAGCGTCCACTCAACCAACTGGCGGGCCGTAACAGCCTTAGGACCCACATACGAAAAATGTCGAGTTTTGGGCTCTAGTGAATATTCAAGCCTGCCTTCACTTAGGGGGACACTCGGCTTGCTGGGGGACTCTGCCCAGAACATGTGCATGTCTGATAAGGGCCCCGCGAGGGCTCATTCCTCGCATTCCATCCCCCTTAGCTTCAAAAGTCCACTGAGATGTTTCATGCTGGTGCTTTACCCTTCAATTTCCTTTCATATTCGGCCACGATTTGAGGAGTTGTCTTGACAAGTTCCTCCTTTGTAAACCATTGTCTTCCTTGGGATCAGTATAATGACTGAACCGTACTCTGTACTCTCTCACAGGTTTAGGCAGTCTACCCCTACCAGCTGGCTTGGGAACAGGTATGTCTTTGTGCTCCAGGATATCGTTGACGTCCACCTGACAATTCATCGTTGGGGGCAGCATAGATATCCTTGATCGGAACCGTTCTGTTTCAGCGAAAGATGCAAGCTTTGAGGTGTGAAACACAGGGTAAGTGCCAGGCATACGTATGACGTACCAGGGACCATCCAAATCACTACCCACAATATCCAAGACTTCTCAGGGACCGAAATACTGAGGCATTAGTTTTCCAGAGATGCCAAACTCTTGTCCCAACTCACTAGACCTTGACCCAGACACGTTCCCGTACCTGAAGTGTGGACTGTCGGCGATGCTTATTCTCATAAGCAATCATTGCTTCCTAAGATTTCTTGATGTGCTCAACAGTCTGCGGCAACAATTTCACATACTGGACACCAAATTCAATGGTTCCAGGAGTTGCAGCAGTTCAATTTTCAAGCAGGAGGAAGTCTAGAGCAGATCTAGGCTTCCAACCCAGATGCAGCTGATTAGGATAGACGCCGGTGGTGCTATGTACAGCAATATTGTACAGGCTGCCGATGGGAGGTAGTTTCTCATCCCAGTGATCCTAGATGGGGTTGATATAGTGCCTCAGCAGATGTTGCACCACACGGTTCATCTGTTCAGCCTGCCCATTGGCTTCAGGATGATTCCCAGAAGTCATTTGGAGCTGGCTGCCCATCTGTTCAGCGGCCTTTTTCCACATCTCGCTGGTGAACCAGTAATCTCGATAACTAACAATCGTCTTTGGACAACCAAAGTCATGCACGCAGTTAAACTTGATGATGTGCTCAGTCCTGGCAGTCTCAGGCATGGCGACTAGTCTAGTGTACTTAGTGAACCTATCAACTACAACGAAGATATGCCTCTTGCCACTATTGCTGGTCACGAGGGTATCCCTGAAGTCCATGGAAACACTATTGTCTCGGACCAGCAGAAATGGGTGAAGGCTTCAGTAACCCAAGCGGGCCTTGAGTCTGAGGCTTATCCCGCTGACAGACTTGGCAAGTCCGAACGTAGGCCTTTGCGTCGTCAAGCATGTTAGGCCACCAGAATCATTGTCGCAACTTAGCACTCGTCTTCTTGTAGCCGAAGTGGCATGATGCATCATGGCACTCACCTAAAAATAGACTACGCAAAATCTCTCTAAAGGGCACAACTAGTCTCTTGAACCCTACTTACGCATTGAACCCGATCTTGTAGGCGCAGTCTCTTAACGCAGTCGCGACCACCACACTTGCGGTCTCCTACACCAACTTCCACAACGAAATGCCCCCCTCTATGACCTCGACTTAGTGCCACCCAAAACTCACGAGGGTCCCCTGCCGACCACTCACTTTGTAGGTCCTCTAAGGCCTCAGACACATCCAACGAGCAGAGTATCGTTGGGTCAGGATGCGTTCGCGGGGTGACTTTAGGAGCAGGGTTGTCAGGCGGGGGCCCCCGGGGGCAAAGACGGGGTAGGGGTTTGACCCCCGGACCCCCACCGCAGGGGCGCCCCACCCCTGCCCACAGCAAAACACCCCC